TTTAAGTCTTTCAATAAGCTATTTTTATATTGATTTCTATCTATGCCAAAATAGCCAGCAAGGGAAGCGAGAGCATTATGGGCCTGTTGACAATGCATCAAGCCCAAGCTCACTGTCCCTGTGTCTGTAGCAGCAACACCAATTTTCTCAAAGCTGCTGGAACAACAGCCAAAGGATGTGTTTCTTCTGACTAAGTTGTCAGGGCAGGCCCTTTGGAAGAGTCACATGAACTGGAAGAGCCTGTTCCCCAGGGACTGAGCAGGAATTCATCTACGTGAGGGCACTGGCTTGTAAGGGACTTTGAGCCTGAATGCACAGATCACATCCTAACACAACTAAGCTGGACTCCCTGGGGGTCGTGAGACCTGCTGAGAAAGCTCACTGCTTCTGCCAGGCTCCATATCCTGAGGCTCTGAGCTCCATAGGGAGGAATTGTGAAGAAAGAAAAGGAGAGGTAGGGATTTAAACTACCTCAGAGTCTTATTAGGGTTTCTAGTGTGATAAAATGTTGTGAGCAAATGTAACTTGTGGAGGGAAGGATTTATTTCAGGGCCTCTTACAGCTCTCAGGCCACTCTAGAACTGAGGGAAGTCAGGGCAGGAACTGAAGCTGGCTTGCTTCTCATGGGCCACTCAGCCTGCTTCCTTATACAACCCCGGACACCTGCCCAGGGGTGGCACAAATTTCCCACATCAATCATTAATCAAGAAAATGCCCCACAGGCTTGCCTACAGGCCAGTCTTACGGAGGCATTTTCTCAATTAAGGTTTTCTCTTCCCCAAAGACGGAGCTTGTGTCAAGTTGGCAGAAGGCAACCAACACTTGGGGAATATATACACCACTAGTAACAAAGAAACCTCACTTCCTCTGATGGCTGTGTGTGGGAGGGAGCTAGAAATGCCAACTTGTCTTTTCCAGATTAAACAAAAACAAAAACCACAAAACAAAACTTGTGCACAGCTGCATGTGGTAGTACACACCTTTAATCCCAGCGCTTGGAAGGCAGAGGCTGTTGGATCTCTGTAAATCCAAGGTTAGAGTGCTCTGTAGAGTGAGTTCCAGGACAGCCAAGGCTGCAGAGATAGAACCCATAAAATAAAGACAAGACTTGTTTAATCAAAGTTCAATTCTGTTTATGCAATGTGTAAATATGTGTAGTGATCTGCTTTGTCCCTTTAAGAGACAAGCCATGCCAACTCCCTCCCCTGTCCACCGAGGCAAGCTAATCTTCAGCTTTTAGCCTGAGTCCTTCCTTTTTCCATCTCCCTCCTGAAGAGGCAGCTTCTGTCTCTCCCTTCCCCCCCACTTCTTCCTGTCCCCCCTTCTCCCTCTCTCCTCTCTCTCTCTCTCTCTCTCTCTCTCTCTCTCTCTCTCTCTCTCTCTCCCCTCTTCTCCCTTTCTTCCCTTTCCCCTCCATAACCCACTAAATAAATATCCAACTTCACTCTGCATGGTGTGCCTGTCTATCTGTCTCTTGCCTGCCATGTGGCTCCCTGACCAGGACCAGCTGCCTTTGAGGTCTCTCACCCACCATGCGGCTCCCTGCCTGGGACTCACTGCCCTTCATGCCCACTGCAGCCACTTGGGGAACCGCGCCATCCCTACCTGGGACTGGCTGCTCTCAGGACTTGCTGCCCACTTCCTGCCACCACTTCGGGGACCTGCAACATTTTACTTTTACCATAACAGTATGTATCTGCAGCATATAAGCCACCTTATTTGGGGTGGGGTTTTCTGAGTTTCCTGATGTTTTATCTTTCCTCTCGCACACTCCATCAATATGTGCATACATGTTGGGGTGGATGTGAAGGATTTCTATGGAGGACTGAGAGGGTGACAGGTCCCACAGAGCTGAAGTTATGGTTGTGTTGGCATCCAGCCTCAAGGGACTCATACATTCCAGGATAGGGGGTGGGTGGATTAGAAATGTTAGACAGAAAAAAAAAAAAAAAACAGAGACACAAAGGGGATAGACAGTCAGGAGGGCAACCCAGTGAATCCTGAATCCTCCAGTATTTATTTCTCATTGGCTTTCTAGACCCAATCCAAAGAAGATGGGGAAGACCAAAGACTTCTCTACCAAGATGCAAGAAACAAAGCAATTACCTTCTCAACACCCAAAGCCTCTAGTAATCTCACCCTGGGTCAAAACACCCTGTTAGTAGCCAATCCTTGGGTCAAACCTCCTGTCAGTGACCTTGAAGGAGCAGGAATAGGTCTGAACTCTCTGAACTTCAGTCAAGGTGGAATGGATCTGTGGGCTCCAAAGTTGTTGATTTTGAGCCTAAGAACTGAGTTGTAATCCTTTGCAAGAGCAGTATATACTCTTAACCACTGTCAAGCCCCTAAAGACAGTTTTAATAAAGATATTCACCAAGTCTTACTGTTATATTGTTAATCCCAAGGATGGGAGGAGAAAGACCCCTAACCGAAATCATCATGGCCAAATTATAATTTTGGTTGTGAGCCTAGCCTTTTAACAGCTAAGCCATTGCCCAATCACCCCAAGCATTGCCAAATTAATTAAAGCAAGCTTTTTTATTTTGTAGGACCCAGCCACGACAAGCTCAATAGAGCCTGAGTCAGAGTAGTTTACCCTAAGACAATACCTGGTTCCAAGAAAGACCACAAACTGAGACTACCTAGGCACCACCCAGGAACCATCCAAAGGAAATTCCTAACATTCCAACCTTTGTGAATAGGATCACCAGTCAGAATACACCCATCGCTTTTCACCAGGACTCTAGACAAATGTCAGCCAGTCAGGAATGAACCTGCCAACCCACATCCTGCTAATGTAACTTTTCTGGGTTTTTGTTTGTTTGTTTGTTTTGTTTTGCCTTTAAATAGTGCCCTCTAGAAGGGCAGGATACCTCCTCTCGCTGCTGCTGCACTGACAAGATCCCTGCTGGCTTGTAATGCACACACAATAAACCTTGCTTTTGTATTTCTGTGAGTTGGTCTCCCTGGTAGTCTTTTGGGGTCCCCATGGACGGAGCATAACAATTTGTTTATCCGCTTTTACCTAAGGTGGGGTTTGAGAGGTCAGCCTTGAATGTGAGAAAGACAAGGTTTTATCACAGGTAGTGATAACAAGGTAGTCAGAGGTGCTCATAGAACCTTTTGGAACAAAGGTAGGGTTGTGAGATGGTTATAAACAACTTTTTGAAATAGAGACATGATTGCAATTTCCGGAACATGTAATATAGAAACATTTATAGTGAAGATTACAGAGGGGGCATAACCCAAACCTGTCAGGAGCCAATTTCCTCCTAAAATCATTACAGGAACCATCACCCTAGGGAGTCTGCAGAGAACCCCACACCCATAATTGTGTTAAGAATCGTTCTATTGACAGAACCTACCCCACACCCAATTAAGCTGTTAATGGAGAACTATCTGTTAGCGGAACCTGCCCTACATTCCAAACTATCTAGAGAACTAGGTGTGTCAACTCTTGACTTCTTGGCTTACGTGACCTGACCGAACGTAACCTCCTGGCCTACACGTTACCGGGACCACGAGGCGAGATCCCATGCCCCTGCCCCCAAACCCCTCATCCAGGGGCTATATAAGCAGCAACCAGGACCCTAATAAACGGAGGTTTTGACAGGAACCCCCGCTTGGCCTCCTTCTTTTCTAGCTCATATCTTACAGATAGTGCCTCTCCGTGACCCTGGAGTAACTGACTGCAGGATGGGTTACAACCCCTAGACTAAGTAACCCACCCAAGGCAATCTACACAAACCTTGAAAAACAGATGTATAATCATAAACAGGAACGAACCTAGTCTTTAAGAAGGCTTTTGAGCCTAAGGTGGAGGCAGGCTGGGTCTTCACATGCGCTTGTTTGTCCATTATACATACAGGACGACTTGCCCCTCAGTGGACAAATGTCTTGCTTGTCATTATCCTTCGACCTACCACATCCTGTCACAGAGAAAGTACTAAAAAAGTCTGCACCGTGAGGGCTTCCTGCTGTATATCCACCACCATGTTTATTCCACCTGTGTCCTGAGATCACGCATGTGTGCCTTGTAACAGTGATATAGAAGGAAGAGATATAGGGTTGATCTTGGCCCCACCACCCCCATTTTCTCCTCAGCCAGGCTGAACTGAGGGAGGCTCCCTCTTCTCAACCAGCTCCTTATTTCTCTCCAGTGGGATATTGCAGTAGGGGAAAAAAGTAAACCATTTTTGACACAGAACCGAAGCCTCCCATGGCCTCTCAGCATGGAACTTTTGAAGAAATGGAAAGCGTGGAGCAAACGAGAGTGGGAACGAAACAGGTGGCATGTCTCTGGGAAAACTGTGAGAAACACAAATCCATCCGTTTTCTGTCAGCCCCTGCCTTCCCAGGTCGCCCTGTGCTCTTCCCTCACACCTCCTCCCCTTTCTCTCATCCCAGGGGTTTGTTTGGGAAATGCTGTCCCTTGTTAGTATAGCTTTTATCTCGGTGGGGCGCCTTTCCTGTCTGCTGTTTTCCTTTCAAGGAGGCAGGACCAGCACTTCACTCTGGAGTTTTAGTCAACACACCCCTGTTGTTAGATGAAGCTGAAGGAACTTTGATTAAGAAGTCTCCTTCAGGGGGACTCAAACTGTGGCCCAAGGTTCACGTGTGGCACCCCCTGGAGGCCAGAGGAAAAACACGGCCAGTAGGCGCTTCTGTTTGGAACAATAGCCTTGTAAATACCACTCTGCCCCCATGACGGGAACCAGAGGCTGGGCTGTGGGTAACTGTTTTTAATGAAAGTTGCCCCAAATGTTGAGATTAGGACTGTGATTAGCATTTAAGGATGATTCTATGCAAAGTCAGTTTGCCCAGGCTTTGTAGAACTTTCCAATGGGAATTCTGGAGACCAGAGAGAGGGGAAGTCAGGAACACAGAAATGGCAGGAAGACACACCTGCTGGTGTGTGGGAATGGCCTGGGGCTGTTGGAAACACTATTCTTCTTTGCCCTTGAGTTTAGTTGTCTTAATTTCTTTTGGTGCTGTGATATAACACTCTGAGGAAACAGCTTGCAGGAGAAAGGTTTATTGGGGCTCACAGTTTCAGGTTGCAGTCCATCGCAGGGGGAGGAGCCAGCCAGCAGCAGGGGTGTGAGGAAGCTGGTCCAGCCTCATTTACAATCAGGAACAGAGAGCAAAGGTGTAAATGCTAAAGTGCTAGTTAGCACTCTCTACTCTATAGGCCAGGATTACTGGATTACTTGCCCAGGGAATGCCCCACCCCCAATGCTATGACCAGACCACGGAGTCACCTAAAAACCAACTAGGAGACCAACTCCTGTAAGTAAAGCAAAGAGCCTTTATTCTTACACAAGTTTGCAAACTTGTTCTCTCCATGTGTCCAATGTATTGGAGTGATCGGAGAGCCCCAACCTCAGTTAGAGTTGGGTGGGGGTGAGGGATTTCTAAGATTCGGGACCCCTGATTGGCTGACATTTGTCTAGGGGTGTCCTGGTGAAAAGCCATGGACTGTTCCTGGGTGGTGCCTAGGTAGTCTCAGTTTGTGGTCTTTCTTGGAACCAGGTATTGTCTTAGGGTAAACTACTGAGACTCAGACCTCTGTTGAACTTGTCATGGCTGACTCATTACAGGTTATGGGAGGTTCTGGAAACACCCCCGCAGGTCCTAAGAAGGAGTATCTACGGCTGGAGAGAGAAGCTCGGAAAGCTTCCCAACAACACAGTCTCTCCACATGACAGTGAGTGCGGGGCATGGTGCTACTTTTTCTTGGTTTTGTGTTGTGAATAAAAATGGGGCTCCCTGCTGGCGAGGGCACTGGAAGCTATGCTGTTTTGCTGGCTCCATTCACAGTTATTCCAGAGTTGAATGAATAGAAGCAAGACTAGAAAGAGAATTATAAACCTAAATGCAGAGGAGACACGTGAGCATGAGGCAACCTAGTCTACCCAGGTTTGTACTTCCTTTCTCCCGCTCTGCGCCGAGTTTGTTGGAAAGGATTCGGTCTGCCCTATACTGCAAACTCCTGGTACACTTGAAGCAGAACTGTTGTGGTTTGAATGAGAATGGCCCTCATTGGCTAAAATATTTGCATGCATAGTCCCCAGCTGGTGAACTGTTTGAGAAGGATTAGAAGCTCTCTGTCTCTCTCTCTCTGTCTCTCTCTCTCTGTCTCTCTCTCTCTCTCTCTCTCTCTCTGTTTCTCTCTCTCTCCCTCTCTCTCTTTTCTCTCTCTGCCTGCTGCCTAAGGATCAGGATAAGGACATAAAGTTCTCAGCTACTTCTCTAACACCACGCCTGCTTGAGAGCACCATAATGATAATAGACCAAGCCTCTGAAGCTGTAAGCCGTTTCCCAGTTACTCTCCTTTCTAAGAGTTACCTTGCTTATGGTGTCTCTTCACAGCAAGAGCACAGTGGCTAAGACAGCTGTCGGAAGGTATTTCGTGACTAGAGGGAGGCTAGACACGGAGGGACATGACATGCAGAGGGAGAGGGATGGGATGTCAAGGCAAGATTGAGGATGGCCCTGGCGATGCAGCAAGTGAAGGAGAAACTTTTATCGAACACTAACTGTATGCCTGGCACTTGTAAGACTTTTCTATATTACAGTGGTAAATTATTTCTAAAATTTCTAAGGTATGTATAGTCCCTGATTAGCAATATCTCTGAAGTTCAGATGCTTACTTCAAAGGGGAAAAATAACAGAAAAATAATTTGCTAGACTATCATTTGTGATAAAAAAAAATCAACATTTTTTGAAATAGTTATAACTTAAAACAATTTAATATAAATACATCCAGCATACAGGTTGCAAATACACTTTGCAGATGAGCTGCAGAAAGCGGTATGTTTCTACCACTATTTCCCAAGGGTTAATGCATTGCATGTACCCCAGAAAGAGAACAATCAGCATGCTCTGGAAAGCAGCAGACCTGAGGCACAAAAGCATGCCTCCAAAAACACATGCCGCTTAGTGTTTCACGTGAGGAGATTCGGGATCTGCAGTACCCACTCGTCACCTTAGAACTGCCGAGGAAAATGCAGTTTTTATCCTTTGGAAATGCTTGAGGAAGATTCTGTCATCCTTGAAAGCTGACATAATTGCATCTGCAGAACCAAAGGAGGAGGTGATGCAGCTACTCTCCAGATGAGTTGGCCCTGCACCAGCTGCTCCCCAAGCCCGTCTCCTGCACGACTGCAGTGTCCCTGCCATATCCAAGGTCTTCGCAATGGCTCCTGGATGGCGTCATTTGGGCCACCCACCAGTTTCATTTCCTTCTGTCTGCAAGCCATGATGACGTCAGCCGGAAGCCACCGCCAGCCCAGGAGTGCCTTCCCACCATTTCCCCCTAAAAAACAACCTTACCAAAGTCCTCGGTGAGGAGGGAGAGGTGAGGACAGGTCAGTGTCCTTTTTTATTGCAGTGATAAACAGGCTGGCAAAGGCGATGGGAGAGAAAGGGGTTTACTCTGGCTCATAGTTTAAGGGCTTGAAGCAGATGGTCACATCATAGCCACAACCAGAAACAGCATGGAAAATGTGCTCAGCCCAGTTTTCTTCCTTCGTACAGTTCAGGATCTCAGCCCAGGGAATGGAGCCACCCAGAGTGAACAGTTCCGCCCAGAGGCTTATCTCTCAGGTGATTCTAATCTTATCAAGTTGACAACTGAGAGGGAAATGGTGGGGAGTGGGGGTGGGTATGCTTAATGTACAGTAGACATTTGACTGAAAACTTTCAAAGTAAGTTCATTTTTAATAATCCCTCAGTAAATAATTTTCTATCGTGTTTTGATCCCAAATAAGATGTGTTTATTTATTTCTGGGGGCGCCAATTAATTTTCAAGTTGTTGTACAATAATGCATGTGATGGTTAGGTTTTATGTCAACTTGGCATAAGCGAGGGTCATCTGGGAAGAAGGAATCCTAGTTGAGAAAATGCCTCCCAGGATTGGCCTGCAGGCAAGTCTGCAGGGCATTTTCTTGATTGATGTGGGAGGACCCAGCCCACTGTGGGTGGTGCCACCCCCTGGGCTGATGGTCCTGGGTGCAGTTAGAAAGCAGGCAGAGCAAGCCTTGGAGAGCAAGCCAGTAAGGAGCTCTCTTCCCTGCCTCTGTATCAGCTCCTGCCTCCAGGGTTTGTTTGCCTCAAGTTTCTGCCCTAACTTCCCCGGATGATGGACTGCAAGATAGAAGCTGGAGTAAACCCTTTCCTCCCTGAGTTGTTTTTGGCTGTGGTGTTTTATCACAACAGAAACCCTGACTAAGACAGCGCACTTCATTGAGACATTTTCATGCGTCTGTCTCACTGGGCTCTGCTTATATTCTTTTATCACTTCTCACAATAACTGCTATGCAGATGAGGAAACGGAAATACAAAAGGCTTTAAATACAGTCAGTTTTCCTAGAATCCCAGTTAGACTGGGAACTAGTGTTAAGTTGGTATTTAAGCGAAGTCTGTCTGATTCTGACAACTACATTCTCGGATGGAAACATCCTATGGGTTTTCTCTCACAGTGTAAAAGAATTTGTGGGCACAGGAAGAGCTCTTGACTTACACACTCCAACACAATAAAAATGTCTTCATTTTCTTCTTTCACAGGAGTGTGTGTCAGGGGGTGAGGGGGTGGGGGTTGGATGTCTTCAGAGAACAACCCCAGGGGTCAGTCCTCATCTTCCCTCTTATTTGGGTCTCACTGCTGCTATTCACCAGGCCAGCTGGTCAGGACCGTTCCTGTCTCCAGCCCTCCTCTCAGCACAGAACTTCAGGGCTACAGCTGTGCGCGTACCTCCTCCTCTGCCTTAGGGCGTCTGACGATCTGAGATCCAGTCCTCATATTTGTGAGGCAGCAAACAATACTCACTGGGCAACCTTCTCAGCCCTGTATCATTTTCTATAATTCCATACAATTCTCTGGTAGACCTAATTGTGTGAAAGAATTCTCATGTTTGGAATGAATTTTACCTAGGCTTTCCTTTAATCTAGCACTCAGATCTTTTACATATTTTCAGTTGACTTTTGCCCAGGATGAACGATGTGGTCCAGTTTCACTTTTCTGTGTGCTGGCATCCTGTTTTCCCAGTGCACTTGTTGAAGTTCTTTTTAATGTACAACTTAGCACATTTCCTGAAAATCAGACCTGGTAGCTGCGTGTGTTTATTTATGAATCCTCTCTTCTATCTTGTTGGTATTTTTGTGCCTGTTTTTTTGTGCCAATATCATGCTGTTATTGTTCCTATGACTGTAGCTGAGAGCAGGTGTTGTGCTGCCTAGAACATTGCTCTTTCTGCCTAGGATTTCGTGGGCCATTTGGCATCTTTTGCACTTTGCACTTTCATAGTTTTGTAAAGAATGTGACTGTGATTTTGATGGGAATTGTGTTGAAGCCGTAACTTGTTCTTGGTAATGTAGCATCTTTTACAGTATCAGGTCTTCCAATCCACAAACACAAGAGGTCAGTCCATCTTCTGCAGTCGTAAAGTTTGCATACTGGTCTCCCACCTCTGACCAGGTGTTTGTTTGCTTTTTGGAGCTATTAATTGGATTTCTCCATTGATTTTTTTTTCTTGGCAAGCTCATTATTGGTATAACTAGAAAAGCTTTTGATTTCTCCATATTGGTTTTGCACCTGAACATTTTACTAAGTGTAATCAGCACTCAGAGTTTTCTGGTAGAGTCTTTGAGGGTCTCATGCTTGGAAGCATGTCACTAGTAAAACAGGCATAGTTTCACATCCTCTTTCCTATTTGTACTCATTTTACTTATTTTCACTAAGGAGGTAAAACTCTTAACCCAAACAATATGCTTGCTAGTTTCTGCAATCCCTTCTACGCTCTCAGAGAACTTAGAGTGTTTGTGGGAGACATCTAGTTCTTGGCCAGCTCAGCTGTTTTCACCTCCATTCTTGCCTGGTCTTGCCCACCCCTCTTCAATCACACAAAATATTCCTGCATACCTAACAGTGCCCTGTATTCTCTCCTCTCTGGCAGATGGTCTTCAAGAACTCTGGTCATCGTTTAGGACTCACCACTACCTGACCACACCTGACTCTGGAAATCTCTGAGGCTCTTTAAGGTCATCTCCACTCCAGCATGCTACGCAGATGCCTCTGCCCTCTGTTCCTGTCTTCTGATCTGGGAGTTCTGGCCCTCTTACTAGATGACAAATAAAAGCAGGAACTGTGTCAAATTGCCTTCATACTATCTTCCTTGTTGGTGGTCCAGGTAGACGAGAGCCTAGAGCCGCTCTACTCAGTGCCTGATAGGAGAGTGTCAGTCAGTCCTAGCTGGCTGCACACTTGGCATTAGTTACTTTCTCACTGCCACAACTGGACGTCTGATGAGAAGCAACCTAAGGGAACACAGGCTCGTTTGAGTTTACAGTTCTGTCATGGTGTGGAAGGCATGGTGACCAGAGTGTGAGGTAGCTTGGCCCATTGCATCCACACTCAGGAAGCACAGCGAGGATGGCCTAACGTCTGTTCCTAGTTGCCTGCTTCCTCCAAGTAGGCCCTACTTCAAGGCCCACTTAGAGCTGGAGACAAAGAGCTCCAACACATGAGCCTAGGAGCGTTTCAGACTTGAACCATGATGCCTGCTTCCTCCGATTGTGTGCCAATTGTCCTCATAGCTCAGCCCATGTTTAGTGGGTACACTGTAGGGAAAGAACATGGATTTCAGAGGGTGACTATCTTCTTCTGAGGACTGGATGGTTATATTCCAGGAGTTTAGCTGTGGATTCCCCAGGATAATGGCACACCATCCTTCCACGATCATCCATGCATTGCCAGTGGGTGCTGGGGTTTCCAGCTCCCAATGCTTGCATCCCATTGCCTAAGGGTTTTCTCTGGCCACAGGTTGCTTACCCGTGTCAGAGATGTCAGAGTATTAGGTCCTTCAGCTTACCTTTCTATCAATGACTGTTGAATCCTTTACATTGGCTCCTGGAACCTGTCCTGACTGGAGGCGGTGGGGGAAGGAAGAGATGAGAACAGACAGGGAGACAGAAAGTCAGACATGAACAAATAGCTGGCATCAGGTGGACCAATCTTGGTGCAGAAGTCTTAGCACCCTGGAAACTCAGCTTGTTTATTATATAGAGTTGTGCAGGAGGCCAGATAAACAAGGTGGAAGGTTATTATATACAGATAAACAAGGGGAAGGTTATTACATACAGAAAAACAAGGGGGAGGTATTATATACAGATAAACAAGGGAGAAGTTATACACAGATAAACAAGGGGGGAAGTTATTATACACAGATAGACAAGAAGTCAGGGTTATTGCTTGCAGCTGAACAAGGGTGAAGGCTTAAGTCACAAACAATGCCAAGCCAGTTTGGAATTATGATTAATAGGGTGGTATTTATTTAAAGAGGAAAAAACTTATAGATCACCGTCCCAGACAACAGCCCTCTGCGCAACCAGGAAGGGAGTCTAGTCACCGGCGAGCAGGAAGTGAAGAGAGAGAGCGCGAGAGAGCAGAGGGAAGTAGCCGCTTTTTTAAAGGGAGAGAGACCATGCCCCAATGGGCTGGTATCTCAGCAGCTATTGGTTGGAGGGGCGGAAGGACCTCCCACAACACAAGGGGGCAGGGTTTATGTATACAACTTGATCAAGGGGGTTGGGCAGGAGCAGTCTCTAAAGGGGAACAGGCTTCAGGCTGTAAGTATTCAGGAGGAGAAAGCTAAGGTGGACACTAACCTCATGCAGTTCCTCCACAGGTCAACGCTGTGGTCCTTGACATAGCTGTGCCCATGTCAGCAGTAGGCATCCTCTCAGGATTTCACTCACTCAGGACTTCCTGTGGTGAGTGCATATACCAGCTTCCCTGTAGGTAAGATGGGACAATTCTGAGGTTTGTGCATATACTGGCTGTAACTGGTTCCTCTGGGAGATGAAATCCCGGTTACCCACAGTGACAGCAGGTTAGTAAAGCCATGATCATTCTCCTTTTCATTCTTATCTCATCCTGTATCAGTACCCCCCTCCCCCCAGACAAGCTGTGTGTATTGAGTCCTTGTCTCGGGGTTCTTCTTGGAGAACACAATCTAAGAGGCAGATTTGCCAAGTTACTGAAAGGCTCTTCTGGTTTGCCTTGGAGCGCTTTAGGAAGGTAGCTGTGAAAATCTCAGGGAATGAGTGCAGAAGACAGCTGTGGGGTGACAATGAAGACACATGCCCACTGTGTGTTGCTTGGGCTGGGATGCTTTCAAAGTGGTTGGCACTAGGTTCCGATTTCCTCCTTCTACACACAAAATTAAGGCAGTGTGTTCTGGAACACATACACAGACACCCTTTGAAGGACAAATATTCCGAACAGTGGTACGGTTTTTCTTAAGAATGTATTTTTATTTATGTGTTTGTTTTTGTGTGAATGTATGCCATGTATGTACAGATGCCAGAAGAGGGCATCAGATCCTCTGGAGATGGAATGATAAATAGTTGTGATTAGCTGGATGTGGTGCTGGGAATCAGACATGGGTCTTCTGCAAGAGCAGCGAGTGCTAGTAGCTGCTAAGCCACCTCTCCAGGCCCTTCAGAGCAAGAGCATCTCACATCTAGATATTCATGA